CATAATCTCTTTCAACAGTGTAACTAATTTACTATCTTGCCTTTACTATTCTAAGATACGTACTTTTATGGGGTAAAGTACATTGAAGAAATCACAGCTATCGAGAAGAACAATTAGGACTGGTTTAATATTGGAAGTTCTTTAAAACTGAGTGCATAAAGCTGCACAGAAAATATTAACAACTCCTATTAGGGCAGTGTGGTACTTAATTACTGCTGCTTCATTTTCCAGGACTGCCTGCTGGAAGTAAGCTGTGGACTATGGAATGATGATTATGGAGTCCTTCTGCTTAGAAGTGAATGGGCATTGTAAAAACGCTCACCAATCAGCTTGGTAACATGTGGGTGGTCAAATTCCTTCATACAAGCAGCTTCTTTCAGGAACTCCTCAATGTCATTTGAAGTGAAGATGTCCGCTAAAATAAAGGAATACTGAGATTTATTATTTTTAAGTTTTTTTTGTTCACTTGAGCTAACTTTACAGGAGAAAAAATCAGACGATAAAGCAAAAAGCCCTGCACCTTTCAAGACTAACGGTTTTAACGGCAAAATTTTCCACTGACTAGCCCATTTTATCAGATGCATGGAGAATATCCTTAGTTGGTAAATTACTACAAACATGCTTGAGGGGTCAGGCTTGGGGGTTGGGGGGCTAAGTACCTGAACAGTGGTATTAAGAAATGATAATAGACTGTAGCACAAGCATTCTTACACCGATGATAAGAATTAACCCATGTGCTGTAGCTGAAAAAAAAAATGTCTGTATTCAAACCAGAGGAAAGAACACCAGGAACCCCCATCAGTAAATATTTGTGTTGTATGGCTAAGCAATAATCTTGCTTCCTGTTGTTAATGTATAAAAAAGGAAGCTTCCTGGTGGTTCTTTCAGTGGCACCCTTGATAAAGCCTAAAGGGCATGCACACATGTAGAGATGAGTGAACATCCTTATTATAAAATAGGCACCTAGTTAAGTTCTAGATTATTATACATTGTTTTAAGAGAGATGTCCTGAAGTACTAGAACACCTGGACAGGGCCTAGCTCTGAGGCTGTATGACCTTAGCTCCAATTTTGTCCCAGTATTTTCCTTAACAACTACAAAAAAAACACACACTGCTTCTAAAGAAACTGCAAATAACCCTCACAAGACAATCCATAACCACATCTACTCAAAAGTAAGTCCCACCGAATCCAACTATGTTTCTTTCTGATATGCAGTCATATAACTGTAACTCAGACCTGCTAAAAAGATTTGCTCCTAACTTAGTAAAGTAAGTAGAATAAAATCCAGAGACAGATAATCAATTTAATTTGTACCCTTGGCAACATAATAATCAAGACTATATGAATAAGTAGATTAGACTTTATTTATTTATTTATTTATTTATTTGTTTGTTTGTTTGTTTGTTTAATATCCTGCTCATCTGGTCAAATCGACCACTCTGAGCGGCTTCCATAAAAAGTATACAGTGAAACACAAAAAATTTTCAGATAAACAACACCACATATAATAAAACAAATAATAAATGGAAAGAAAAAGGAAATTAAGTATTGACAGGAGGGAAGGCCTGAACATATAACCATGTTTTTAGTTGACTCTTAAATATGCCCAGCGTAGGGGCCGCACGAATTGCTGGAGGAGGAAGGTTATCGCAGAGGCGAGGAGCCACCGCTGAGAAGGCCCAATTTTGTGTCCTTTCCTTCCGGGCCTCCCTTGGCGTTAGGCTCCTCAGCCTCACCTCCTGGCTCGTGCGGGTGATCTTACTTACTGGGGATGACTTACTAAGGTTCACCAAAGCTCACTTAGAGACTGTGGGTCACACACCTATGAGAAATTTAAGTGATAATGAATAATATCCAGTTAGGATATAATTTTGTTCCTACCAAAATCAATTCAAATTTCCCAGTGATTTAATGGAGTGTGACTGCAACCTTCACAACTACTTTCTCACCTGAGTTCCAGAATCATAATTTGCTAACAAACCACCAACACTTAATTAACAGAGTGATAATTATGGGATACTGCCTTTCTAGTGGCAAAATACCTTCTTAGGAAATTGTGTCTGTACTTGAGGTGGGCATGGCTCTGAATGTGGAAAGTAGAGGTGTGCCATTGGGTTTTTTTTTAAAAAATACTCCAACTCCCAGAATTCTCCAAGAATTTTGCTTCCTCTTGTTAATGTACAAAAGCAGCAGCAGTAGCTGTAGTGCTTCCTAGTTCTTACAGAGTCACCCTCTACAGCAGGGGTCTCCAACCCCCGGTCTGCGGCCCAGTGTCATTCCATGGCCTTGGCAGGACCGGGCTGCAGAGCAGCTCTTCCGCCCCCCATGCACTCCCCCTATGCACGCCCACCTGCATGTGTGTGTGAGCACCCCCTCCCACCTGTGCATGCGTGAGGGTGCACCCTGCCCACCCGCAAGCACGGTCCCAGCCCCCTAGCCGGGCTGCAGTTCGGAAAAGGTTGGGGACCACTGCTCTACAGAACCTAAAGGTCACCAACACTACACTCCAGGAAAGCAACACAACATGCATTTCTTTCTTTCTTTCTTTCTTTCTTTCTTTCTTTCCTTATTTATTTATTTGTAGGTTAACAAGAGAAGCAAGGCTGGAGCTAGGTCCTTCTTTAAGTAAATAAAATGTAGGTGTCTATATGTGTGGGTCTTTGAGCTAGAATTCCCAGAATCCTGCCTGGGGAATTCTTGGAGGATTCTGGGAATCAGAGCAAAAATTCTAACCCCTACACCATGAAACATCTGTAGTAGAAGGCACACAGTATCAAGGAAGGAAGGAAGGGAAGAGAAGGGAAAAGCCAAGCACATACTCTTCGGTGAAGGACAGCTCACAGGCACAGAAAAATGGCTAAGAGGAATGCACCGGCAGCACTTCAATTGGCTTACATTTTACTCACCTTTTAGCATTTTCACTGCAACCTTTTGAAGGGAGCCATCTGGCAGTTTCAGCTGACCCTCTCTCACAGACCCAAATTCTCCTAAGAAAACAGAAAGAGAACAGAACAAAGTAATAAGTCAAACACAATGTAATTCTGTTTTATTTCAAAGATCATGAAGAATGGAGATGTTAGATGAATTGGATCCATCAAGTCCATGGGATTTAATGTAAATCCCACTAATACAGTAGGTCTCTTCTCATTTGGATTAACAGCTGTATTTATCACAATGGGATTTAGGCACACATAACTGCATTGATTGAGCTATAAATCTTAAATAAAGAAAATTCAGTTCTAACCAGATTCTGTTTTGTACTCACCTTTTCCTAGCATTCTTCCAAGCGTAAACTGCTGCTCCTGTATGAGGACATCTTTCAGTTTAGTCTTCAGTTCATCACTGATTCCTATACTATCCACTGGAGAGAGATGAAGGAATTCAACAAAGAATATCAGAATGTTAACTCTTGCGTTCTAGAATTGCAGGTCATTAATCTTAGCCACAACATGTGTTGAACAAGGAAGACAGACAGCATGAAAAATGAATGGTCCAATTGCAAACATTTCTTTTGAGTAGTAAATTACTCCCAGAGGAATGCTTAAGGTTGCTGCAATTTTCCAGTGTTATTAAACATAAGATGTCTAGAATTTCCGAAGTTATTAAAATGTGATTTATTTCAATGTCATAATTTAAAATGCTATGATACCTTTCTCCGGAACAATTAATAAAGGAAAAATAATAACCTAGTTTAAGCAACTGAGATGAATGAAACTTTTATCAGGCAGTTCCACAGATGATCAATTTGAAAATCAGTCCATGGATAGTGAATCATCCATGGACTGATTGCTACAGAATAATATACAGCAGTATTCTATCCAGTATTTTATTTAAGACAAAGTACAAAGATGTTCATTTGCTCATTTACAAACTACATCCTGTCTCATGAAGTAATTTCTAGGAAGGTAAAGGTTCCCCTTGACATTTTTAGTCCAGTCGTGTCCAGCTCTAGGGGGCGGTGTTCATCCCGTTTTTCAAGACGTAGAGCCAGCGCTTGTCCGAAGATAGTTTCCGTTGTCACGTGGCCAGCATGACTAGGCAACACCGTTTTACCTTCCCACTGAGATGGTACCTATTTATCTACTCGCATTTACATGCTTTCGAACCCCTAGGTTGGCAAGGAGCTGGGACAAAGCGACGGGAGCTTACTCCATCATGTGGATTCGATCTTACGACTGCTGGTCTTTTGACCTTGCAGCACAGGCTTCTGCGGTTTAGCCCGCAGCACCAGCACATCCCTCAATTTCTAGGAAACCTAACCATAAATGTAATATTTGTTATTTCTTTTCACAATATAGAAACAAATGAATCTACTTTAAATTATATTTAGATTCAAACACAGTCATACTTAAACCACATGCACTGTAATCATTGGGACTTAGTCATTACTAAGTTTAAGCCTTATGGAAACAATTAGTCTTGTGGCCAAAGCTTTTATGAAAGCAATTAGAAGTCATGTGGCACCTTAAAGACTAACAAGTTTTATTTGGCATAGAATTTGGGGACTGCCGCCTACTTCACAGGCACCAAATTCTGTTGTACATATAACTAAACCCAGACCAAGCCCTCCATTAGCAACAACAAAAGAAAAATGAACTCAAGACATTAGTGAAACTAATCAAAGGTCTGTATAAACAAGGTGTTAAACCTTTGTCCCAAAAGTGAAAAATAAGGCGATATTTAAGGCTTACTCAATAAGGAATTTTATAAAGTGGGCACCATTATTGAGAGGGTAGTGCTCCTTAAAGGCTATTTCCAAATGAGAAAAGGAAAAAAAACTCAAAGTAGGGCAAATCCCAATTGTGTAAGATGTTGGATAACATCATTACATCATATAATTGCACACAATATGTAATGGAAAACAAACCAGTGCTGTAACTTTACAAATTTGCCTTATGCATACTTATCTTGGAATTGCCTCACTGAAATTAATGGACTATGAAGTCTGAGCCTAGGTATGTTTACTTGGAAGTAGTCAGCTGAATGGAGAGCTCAGGGATTTGGGCATCTGGCTATGGACCCAGAGATCAGGAGTTTGATTCCTTATTATGCCTCCTAGGAGAAGAGCCAGCCCGTGTAGGATCAGGCAAGTGGCACAGACCCAGAAAGCCCCCAGAATGTGGGTGGCACTGATAGTTTAAAAATAAAGAACATCAGAGAGGGAGAGCAAGGGCCTTGGCATCAGCCGAGCCACGGTGGGCACCTAGATAAGGCCCATGTCACCTAGATACTCCCTTCTCCCCATTTATTTATTTATTTTATTTATTTTATTTATATCCCGCCTATCTAGTCTCACTGAGTCCACTCTACGCGGCTTACAGCAAGCACAATACAATATATTAAAACAATTTTAAATAGGGGAAAAACTTTAGGCAAGATGGGACAAACACTAAGAAAGGGGAAAAAGAGGGAAGATTAGGAGTTGGCTGAGGGGAAGGCCCGCCGAAACATCAGTGTTTTTAATTGATTTTTAAAAATACCCAGTGAGGGAGCCGCGCGAATGTCAGGGGAAAGGTTATTCCAGAGGTGAGGAGCCACCGCCGGGAAGGCCCGATTTCTTGACTTTTCTTTCCGGGCCTCCCTCGGCGTTAGGCTTCTCAGCCTCACCTCCTGACTCGCGCAAGTGACACGGGTAGAACTTGGTGGAAGTAGGCGTTCCTACTTCCCATGGTGAGATGTACTGTAATTCTGTTTTCAGTTATAAAATCATTTTCAATTATAAAATGCATTATACATATAAAGTAGCATATGTAATTTTAGGAAAATCAGTGCCCTCCTTTGCCCTCTTTTTTTGGGGATACATGAGTGTTTATTTGAAAGTTACATCTGAAGTGCCAGTTCTGCACGGTTCTTCTGTAAACATATGCCCATGAAATAACTGGGCTCTTTATTTTGTGTGTGTGTGTTAGAAATGTGCTGAAGACTCAGAGGAATGAGGGAAAGGTAACAGCATTAATAGTAATAGAGGATAGAATAGCATTTTGCGCCGAGAGATGTGGAAATTTGTTTGAGGAATGGGATCTGTAAAAAAGAGTAATTTAGAACATTTTACCTACATGTTGCCTCAATAAGTTCCGGCACTTCTCTGTTGAAAGATCTTACTGCTCTGAAATGGACAATTGGATCCCCTCCCACCATGCTGCCAAAGGCATGCCTAGAGGGTAAAAAAAAAGAAGCAAAAAAAAAATCACATTTAACAATACATGTGTGACTGCTACAGAGGTATAATATTGATCACTTATGTACACTTATCACAGATGGTAGCTTACAAAAGAGCTGCCTTAAATTGCTATTTCTTCTCTGGGCTGCTACTGAAAGGTCTAATATCACCAGGGCAGGCCTTCCTGTCTCATACCTCACCCCCAGCAAGAGAAACAATGGAGATTGCAGTAACGAAACAGTACCCTAGTAGTTTTATTTATTTATTTATTTAATTTATATGCCACCCACTCTCCCCAGAGTGTTTGAGAGCAAAAACAGAGTTGCTCAACTACACAAATTGCAGCTTTTCCTTCATCATGACTCCAAAATAGCTCACCCTCCTCCTACTGTTCTTCCCTCCCCCTACCTAAATCTCTGTAACAGAAAGCTGTTGCATAAGCAGGCCTGTACAAGCTCCGCTGTCCCAGATAAACGTTGTTACCGCCGTGACAACCTGATAGTTGAAGCACGGCTTCTTAAAATGTTCAGTCTTCTGTGTTCCACATACCGCCCACCTCCAGTTCCTTTATCTTGTAAAAAAAGAAATCGCAAGATTTATCCTGTAAAATCATAAGATTCCTTCATCCTTGGATCATTACATAATGACTAGCAGCTCTGTCATTCAATGAGGTGATATTAAGGCAGTTGTGCAAGAGATCCAGAGATAACAATAAATTCTAGCAACAAAGATTTTACCCAAAACGAGTTTCTTTTCTTCTTTTCCGTAGGAGGATTAATGCCAAGGCAACTGCTGTGACCAGTGCAGTCAGAATTCCTAAAACCACAGGAACCCAGGATGTCCCATAAGGGGGTTGTCTCTGTCCTTCTGTGTAAAAGAGAAAAATCAAGAGAACACATTTAGTAACATTCACCCAGAACAGTCAGCCTTGTAATAAGCATTTTCCACTCTGGCAGAAGGAGGAACCCCTGTGGTCAGTTTCCAAATGAATCTGAAAAGATGCAAAACAGGCTAACCCATTATTGGTGTGATTCCGGCATCTGAGTGTAAGCCACCAGCTAAATATTACTTAATACCAATTCCAGAAACTGGTGGAGAACATTTTCTAAAGAAAGGGAACCCATTGTTAAGGTTGTGACAGGAATGTGGAGCTGAGTTTATCCTGTCCTTGAGCTTCCTTCACTAAGTGAATAAGATAGCTACTAAATCGCTTTTGCTGGAGTAGCAAAATGTTGTACAAGAATGGTGGATTTACATTCATGTAGTGGAAGGCAGACTTCAGTCTTAATGGTTCCTCCTAATCTCTCTTAAGGTCTACCAATTCAATCAGATGCGAAGTGGTAGTCTGTGGTAAAAAAAGTTAGGGAAGGATATTAGCCCCCTTGGAACTCACGATCAGTATCTCCCAGTGCATGTTTACTCCAATAATTCATTTTCTAAGATGGAGTTCATGGTAGTTTAATGCACAAAGACTCACGCTTGGTTTTTCAAGAAGGCTTTCTTCCTTCTTAGGAAGAAAACTTTTAAAAGTTTGTTCTTATTCTCAGAAGCTCTTGCACCTTACTGTCGATCATCCTAAAATCTACATTTTGATGTAACTTCTACTCATTCTACTGTAGTTCTAAACAGAAGGCAGCAGCTCAAGACATGAGTCACTTGGAAGCCGTAGGAAGGCACACAAGTCCAGAGAAGAAGCAGCACACAAGAAGGGATGCCAGTGATGGGCACTTGTTATAAACACATTCCCATTTGCATTCCCAAGATATTAGTATTGAAAGGTATTTTGCTTTGGCTAATACACATAACATATAGCCATCATATGTAGCAGCTACTGATGATGGTAAAGTCCTCTTTTGTATAACCATCCAAATGGGATACCGTCACATCATGTGAGAGCAAACTTCAGTTTAACTGTCTGTTCCACAAAGAAGTACATAATTCTATCTGTGCCGACTCTCCCACCTATCAAACTTGCTCTCAGTCAATCTCCCCAAAATAAACTTTATTAGCCTTTAGAAATGGTCCCTATTGGAAAAACAAGGAGCTCTACAGTGCTAATCATACAGTTCATTCAGGGCACAGCCGGTTCCCTATCAAAATGTGCTTGTGTCAGCATAATCTGTTACTGTAATTGCAAAACTGGATGGGAACATTTAGAAAACTTCCCCCCCCCATCTGTTTATGTACAGTATGCATGGCATTGCAAAACTGGATGGGAATATTTAGAAACTTCCCTCCCCATCTGTTTATGTACAGTATGCATGGCACAGAGCCCACAATATTGTGTGGACATGTCGGACTGCTATTAATATTATCAAGCATTATTTGTTTTTTCCATTATTATCCTAAACTTATCATCAGAGGCCTCCTGAACAAGAACATAAGGGAAGAAGAAAATCTTCATCTTGAAGTCCACCTCCTTTTGCTTACTTCTGAGCACGCAAACTTAGATTAAAACCTACAACAATCTTAGACCTTGAGACAACAGGGGGAAAGTGATTCTTGAAGTCAATTCACGTTACTCACTAATATGCAACTGCCCACTTACTATATTAGACACAATTATCCATCTAGCCTGCTGTGTTGCTGCATGTCCAAAATAGAAAAATGATTGCGTTCTTAATCCTACTAGGCATCCTTCAGTCTCGAAAGACTATGGTAACATGCTCTGTATGGAGGACTTGGAACAGCGTCTAGTGTGGCTGAGGAGGCCTATTCAAGAATGACAATCCCTTCTACACTGAAGACAAATACAAAAGCTCCCTTTTGCTGCTTTCAGCCATTTTCGCAAGAGAGATTTGATTCACGTTTATATTTTGTGTACTGTACTTACAGATTGATATGTAGATTTTTTTTTAAAAAAAAAGTAAAATCAGTATTTAAACTGGCAGCTTCTAGTGAAAGCTTGTTGAACATTATACTAGAAGAGCTCAGTTACTATGGATGAAACATTTAAAAGTACAGTAAAACAAGAAAACACCAAAAAAGGATCTTTTAATATATTTTGGGGTTCTTTCACTGATTCCCAAAAGAGAGCCTTTTAAACTCATACAGTCCATATTAATGAAAAAGGAAATTTTTCAAACCATAGTGATGTGAGGGCTGCTGTCAGGAGCAAATCAGAAAATCCAGGAGAGGAAAGTAAGAATGCTGGATCAGTAAAGGGGCCTGAATCGGAGTTTGGAACCCACTGAAGAGGAGTGAATGCTCCTTCTCTGCACCTACAGATGGCAGGGTGGGGAGAGCCCTTCTGTCTGAAGCAGAGCAGGGCAGGCAATGTGAACAGGAGAAAGATGGAGAAGAGGCTGAAGGGAAGAAGGAAAAGAAAGCCATGGTGGTGGTGCAGGGCAACAGTGGGTACCAAACAAGTGTCTATTTTTTAAAGAGGCTGAGCTGCTGCTCTTGGGAGCAGCATAGGTACTGGGGTGGCAAGCCAAGGTTGCAGCTGCTTCCTTCTCATTTCCTTGCTACTAGCTCATGGGAAGTGGGGCCACCACTGTGTAGTTGAACCTGCAGTGAGGGTGGTGGCAGCAAGAGGAGAAAAGGCCACTTCTGACTGAGCCTTTGGGGAATGTTCCAATGGTGGTGAGTGCCGAGCTTTAAGGACCAGTGCAGGGATAGATACCAGAAGATACCAACAGTCTGAAACCTTAGGATAGGTGTAAGTTGCAAACAGGGTAAAACCCTGCCATTCCATTCTGTATTAAATGGAAGAACCGGTGCACAAAACACCTGAAAACAAAAGAGGCGCCCCATGCAAGAACTCAACAGAACAGAAACGGAAGTCATTAAAGGGACAGCATACACGTCCGTGTAATTCACTATCATCAGTTCAGAAACAATCTGACAAAATGATCTTAATACAAACTCTGATAATTTTGCATGTTTTAAATAAAACAAACAGCATCTTTCAACCAATTGTGCTCTCACATGAGGCATTATAGTGGTCCTTATGCAACATTACAGAACTTGAAAAAGTTACTTTCTTGAACTTCTGTTCCCAGAGTCCTACAGGCATCAGGGCTGGATTCTGGTAGCTGTTATTCCAAAGAGTAACTCTTCCAAGCACCGCAACATTCTCTGATTATCTGTTGCAACTAGTTATATTTATGCAAATGTCCTACACATGTAGCTATTTCATCTTCTACTTTTTGCATTCCCAACTCCACAATCACTCTTAAAAGCTACAACTGAATGGCACATTATTGTTGAGTCACCTACTATCCTTGGGTCCTTATGGAAACCACATTGCTTTCCCTCATCACTGACAGATCATGAGGAGTTGTGTGTAGCCTGCATAATTAAATTGTAAACCACCCAGAAAGTGCTTTAAGCGCTATGGGGCAGAATATAAGCAGCACATTTTGCTTTGATTTATCTGTAGTGGGTGAGTGAGCAGAAGGGCACTTTAGGCCAAAAGAAGAACTTCTGGTGGATTATGCAAGAAATAAAACCCAAGAGAGTGTGATATCAGTGACCAACAATTATGAACGTTCCAGATCTTTTCTGTGTCCTGAAAGGCCAGGACACAGTGGGATATAAACGTTCTTGCAGACCGAGCACACTCTTCTCACAAGCCTGCAAGTGATCCCCCAAAGGATATGTTTGTATAACCCCCCCGCCTTACACTGAGGGATACTAACAAACTGCCCCAGATATATCACAGGCAAGTGGAATATACAAGATGTCTGTTCAGTACTAGCTACTTATTTCAAGAAAGTAAGCAATTTTTATTTTCCACCAGGCTCAGGCTTGGAACAGCAGTTAATTATTTTTACAGATGTATAGTTTTGTTCATTCAGCATTTCTGCAATGAAGCTTTATTTACAAGCATTTATAGGCTCGGCTCCATACTTTGGTAAGCATGGCCCCTGTCTGGACACAACAAGCCTTATATCAACAGGAAAAGAGGGAGGAAGAATACACGTATGTTTGTTTTTACTCAGGGCAATTGTTTTAAAAAGGATAAGTTATCTATCAATAGTGTTGTTTGTCAGAGTTTATGGAACACACTGCCATTCAAGACTTTGTTTAAACACAATAGTAATTACTCAAATGTATCAGATATAATCCAGTAGTCAGCCTGCTTAAGCCCCCTGAAATCACTGGATTTGACAATGTGTTTAATGCTGGTCTAGATCTACAATCTCTTGTCCATATTTTGAGCTCTATCACATTTTCAATTTTGTATACAGTTTTGGAGAGCCAGTGTGGTGTATTGGACAGAGCACTGGAGTTATACTCTAAAGACCTGAGTTCAAATATCCACTTGCCATGAAAATTCACTGGGTGTGTGCAGCAATGGTAAACAATAAGTCACAAACCACTTAGTGATGCATAATATAACATGTACTTTTTATTCACTATTATTTCCACTACAAAAAGGGTCATAATTAACAATAAAGAAACAATGTATTTTAAAATCTACACTATTGCAATAATTAAAGTTTCTATCTTATTTCAATCTTATTTTTTCATTTAAAATCTGATCCTAAAAGAGCTAATGACCCATAACCTAGAGCTGAACACAAAGTCACCTAGAGTGGTCAAAATGACTAGATAGGTGGGGTATAAATACAATAAATAAATAAAAATAAATAAAAATAAAATAAATAAAAATAAAGTCTCACCAGTATAATAACAAGGGACTGCACAGCTTGCACAAATGTTGCCACTGCACAAGCAGTGATCTCTATGGAAAAAAAATCACACCGTCCACTTGCCAATTAGCAATGCTTGAGCTAGCAGTGCAATCCCACATTACTATGGGGGTGGAACCTATTACTTAATGGGAACTTAATAGGATCCTATCCTAAATATACAAAGATCTGAGAGGGGAAAAAACAGTAGGTGGGGGCTGGAGAACAAACAGTAAGCAGAACATGAGAATGTGGTATAAGAGTTCCTGTGTCAACAATGTCTTGTCCCTCTTTGGGGGTGGGAGGTACAAGGCTGTGTAAGGTAACAACAAAAAACATATATGAAGGGTATAGAATTTGGAATAAAATAAAAGCATTTGCCTTCTTTTATGTATTAGAGAATTCCTACAAGCAAGAAGACACTTTTGTATGGACATTTCTACATAATAAATATATACAGACATTATTAAAGATAGTCATTCTCCATTCATAGATAGGAATATAATAGCTAGATGAGTGAATAAGAATTAAGATGAAACATATCTGTAGACTGGAAACTATGCTAGTTTTTTAAAATAATACATACAGCATAACATCAGCTTGAAAAACTATTACTGACTGTGTCTATTCATCCTGTGTATATCTTCCACACATTAAATAAATAATCAACATGAAGTATTGTTATTGCAGTCTTCTATATATTTAACATTAATTCTTACAGAACAATTCTCCTATACGCATTTTTTCACTGTGTATTCAAGGATCCCATTCCCACCAGTAAAACAAACAAACAAACCAGCAACAATTTATATTTGAGATTTCAAGCTAAAACATGCACTAGATTTCACTTTAACACTTGCACAGAAATAATTTCTGCATTGCATGACAATACAGTCAAAGCTTTTTTTTACAAGAAATCATCTTGTAAAATCATAAAGACATTGTTTTTTTCTATTGCAAGCAACCTATGTACTTCAATGACCCTTATAAGCAGGTGTGTGTGGATTATGTACCAAAACATTTTACATTCTATAAAAACGAAAACCAGTTTGGACATCAAGACCTTCAAAGTGTTTGAGATGCAACTAAATCATATTCAAAAGTGAAGTTAATATAAATGACTCTGTTTTCTTTCTTCATGTAATTTTGAATGTTTTGTTTTGTTTTTGTTTTTTGCTACCTAATTCCCCTTTTTCCATGTCCTGGTAGGCGATCTGATGAAAACAGGGGCACAATGGAAATACTGAGGGAAAGGCACCAGGAGGAACAAACAAAAAAACCTTCCATGTTTCCATTTGGACAAGAACACCTCTTTTCTTTTTTAAATTTTATTTTATAACATGGCATGTACATGGATGAAATTCTAAACATAAATACCAGCAGCCAGCAAGGATGTCCTGTGAATGATGTCAACTGCAAACAACAGGTTCCCTAACAACAGGTCTGAAAAACACCCCACACTGCAGAGTCTTTCTCAGATGCAGAAAATGATGTTCAGAGTGGTCTCATTCAAGAATAATATGCAACATACCATCCCTACAGATTTTCTCTTCAGCTATAACAAATTATATTGACACACACCAATCACAAGGCTCCTTTCACTGTATTTCATTTCCCCTTGCCAGCTGCAATTCACAGCAATATAAAAGAAAAGTGACCATAGTTGGGGCTAAGAGCTTTTAGCTGAAGCACACAAGAGATGCAGCTGTGAGTGCTGAGAAGAACACAGCCAGAAAGGCACAATGGTACCCGCAACTCTTATGTCATGCAGCATCCTAACAACAGACTATTCTTTTTGAGGAAAACCACAGCGGTTAAAATTTCCCACATACACAACTCACCTATTAAATCTTCAGCTGTAACCAGTAAGGGTTCACTCCAAGGTCCACAGCCAGCTGAATTCAGTATGCACACCCTGATGAGAAGGTCTTTTAAGGGGTTCCACATAGTCAGGTTTGCTCTTGTCTCCTGCACTACCATCTCCCCCTAGAATCAGAAAACCATAGATGAATAATCAGCAGTCAAATGCCACTTGCTGTTTCTGTGTACCATAAAGCAATTTCATCCACGCCAAACTAATGATCACAGTGCACATTTGTCTTCCTGGCCTTTTTTGCACCATGTGAACTGGCTTGCTTCTTGAGTCATATTAATACATCTGTTTCTCAAGCATATTCTGTGCTGCACATATCTCTTACCTATCAGATATTGTGGGCTGACACACAAAGGCTGATTTGTGGACAATGCAGAGGTTGATTGTACAAGAGTCCCCAACCTTTTTCACCCCACGGACCGGCTGGGGAAGGCAAGCCCCCCCGGGCTCATGCGCAAATGAGCACTTTCTCTCATGTGCGCGAGCACGCTCATGCGCATGTGCAAATGGCAGTGTGGCACTTGTGTGGTTGCGCATGTGCTACTGCACATGTGCAAATGGTGGCATGGCACTTGTGCAGGTGCACATGTGCTCATGCGCAAATGGCAGCACAGCACTCGCAGGCTGGAGCATGCAGGCAGGTGCAAACAGGCTGTGCGGGGGTGAGTGCATGCGGGGGGGCAGAGGCATGTCTTCACAGCCCGATCCGGCTCAGGCCACGGACTGGCACTGGGCCGCGGACCGGGGGTTGGGGGCCTCTGTTCTACAGCTTCTCCAACATGCAACTGACCCTCCAATCGTCTCCAACTGTGTAACCTCCTAGTTTCATGATGTAACTGTTGCTTTCACTAAAGTGACCTCTTTTGCTCACAAGTTGAAAATCAAGTCTCCTATGGTTGCCTCTGCACAGAAACTTGTTATATTGCTTCATTAGTTGCCTTCTACATTTGGTGCCATGCTAAGGCATTTATTTTGTGGGGGTCTGAGCCACCTGTCTCAACATATACCTCTCTGACTCTTTATAGGCACAGAATTGCTGAAATGAGAGCCACACTCTCTTTTTAAAAACATTTCATATAAATAATGTATCTTTGCCTGTAGATCCTTTACTCCTGGATTGATTTTTAGTTATTTAATAAATGTAGATCCTATCTTACCAAAAAGAGCTTCAAGACAGTTTAATAACAGAGTTGGAGTCAGGGGAACCCAGGGCAATATAAAGCTATAATTTTAAAAAAGAATAGTAACAGCCAAAACAGTAATAAAACATCTTAATGCAGGCAGGTTAAACGACATGTCCAACCAGTTCAATGACTTAGACATGAAAAAGCATTTCCACCTGGCACTAAATTGTCATCCACACTAGACAAGCATTGTAGAGTGGGGCCTACAACAGAGCAAGCCTGAGCTGCCTTCACAACCCACCTCGCCTCAAAAGGCACAGGTCCAGAAAGAGAAGCCTCACTTAACTGTCTTTCAAGAATGGCCAGGTTTATACAGGAGCAGATAATGTCTTTCTTGCTCAAAGAGCATGCAGATTTTGCAGCCTTTTGAGTCAATGCAGGATGTACCTCCAACACTACAACAATGGCAAAATCTATCAGATTCAATATTTTACAGTGGTGCTCGCACAGCGAGGTTAATCCGTTCCGGATTAACCCTCGCTGTGTGAAACATCACTGTACGGAAGTAAAAAAGCCATTGAAACGCATTAAACTACGTTTAATGTGTTCCAATCGGCACGTTTACTTACCGTACAGCGATGCCAGCAGCCATTTTCGCGCCCTCCCCTCGCAGAACGAGGGTGCGAAAATGGCTGTGATCAGCTGTCCAGCGGGTCCAAAATGGCCGCCGGAACAGCCGAAAGGAGCCAGGGCGCAGCGTTTTCGCGCCCTTGGTAAGCAAGGGGAGGGCATGAAAACGCTGCCGGAAGCCCCGAAATGGCTGCGTGCAGCGTTTTCGCGCCCTCCCCTTGCTTACCAAGGGCGCGAAAACGCTGTGCCCCGGCCCCTTTCGGCTGTTCCGGCGGCCATTTTGGACCTGCCGGACAGCTGATTGTCGGGTCGCAAAGCAAAGGTCGGTAAGCGAGCAGCTTACCGACCTTCGCTCTGCGATTTCCCGCCTATATGGGCACCGTTTTGCGATCGCAAAAACAGCCTCGTAGAGCGAATTCATCGGTCTACGAGGCGCCTGTTCTGCGAGGCACCACTGTATTTTAATTTATTAATATACTTATTTATTCATCTCTCCTTCAGGCAAAAATGGTGCTCAAGACAGGCAGCGTTGATAAAATGCAGTTCAAAAACAATTCTACCTAATGTAGGAATATAGCTTGGAGTGAATGACAGTAAAACTAAGGCTTCACTGCTAAGCCTTTCTGTGACAGAGCAAGATATACTTGAAGAGATAAATGTGGCGCCTCTAAACTCTCTGCCATCTATGTTTCGGAGTGCAAGATGTTGAAATTCTTCAGTTTTTAGTGAATATGCTTAAGCAGATACACACCCAGAATAGACTGTGGTAGGAGAGACTGGATGTCATACCTCCTAGTTTGATGTAAAAAATATTCATAAGAATGAAGTACAATTTGCAGCACATGTTTCCAAAATTGTGGATCTAGAACTTTTCTTGACACTGAATTCCAATTGTTTCTTACCCTAGACGAATTTTGATCTTAGAATCATGGTAATTTGGGATACAGCCCAGGATATTGCTCAGCACATTTTGGAAAACAAATAATAGCCTTTGACAAAATGATGGTTTTGATTGATTTCGAAGCCACTGTTAGTGTTCCTCAGCTTTGTCTCAAATGACCTAATGTTCAAATTGTTCTGATTCTGTTTTCACATGTAAAACTAAAAGTCTTTCTGCTGCTATTCCTGCCATTTCTGGATGTTGTTAGATGTTTGAAAAAATGCAAAAAAGAAGTCAAATATAATCCACACAGATTTTTCTTTCATATTATAGATGACTCGCTTTTTAAAAAAGTCCTATTCAGGTGTTAGCAAATTATGTATACTTATTACAGGTGCATGGGAACACGCCATCCTTCCCTTTCCAGTTTTGTCACTTTCCTAGATATGGAGAACAATGCCTCTGAAGAGGACAGCCCCCACTAGCCATGACAGCCCTCCATGTAAGTTGGAATGCTAATTTTCTAGGGTGCAGTCCGACCAGAGACTACACTTCTATCCATGTTAAGTACGTCCTATTTGCTAACATTTGAGTAGGGCTTCATACAACCACAAACCAATGTGAGCCTTATATCATATGCGATATTGGAAGTAGGCTCAGAGTGAAATAAGTAATTAAAATATTTTAATTAATGATGTGTTCTTCAATTCACCAATTTATGGTGAGCCTACATTTTGGGATTTACTGCCACACGATGTGACAATAGCTACCAGCTTATCTGAATTTCTCAGAAGATTAGACAAATTTATGAGAGATAAGTTAGTCACTGACTCTGAGCAAAACAATTAAACGAATCTTGACTGGAGGAAGAAAGACTCTTCTTCAGGTACCTTTGCCTTCAGATGACCATGGATTAAGCTGTCTCTGCTCCCACAACATGTAGACATTGCAGCAGACCAGATGCCAGAGACACACAAATGATGGCAGTCCTTATGATCATGTTATGCTTGCCTAGAGAGATTGCGTACTGAACTACAAAAGTGCAAGACTCCTATTCCTCTCTCACCTGAGTTATGTTATCTTGACTCCATTCCAACTTGTATCCTATGGCGCTGTCTATGGTGTTGTCCCTAAGCATTTCTGGAACCATTGCTTCCCATTCCAAGATCAGGCAAGAATCTCTCTGGATAATGTGTACATTTTGTGGAGTATTGTTGGGAGCTGTAACAGATAGAAAAGTCACAATGTGTATATTTTCTTGGTAAAAAAGGGGGAAAGAAAATATTCCTCAGCAACCCTCTTGTCTCCTATAGACTGTGGAAAATGGAAAACAGCAATCTCAATTTGATACCTGTTTGAACAAAGAGCATTTTCTATCTGCTATAAGCAAACTATATTTTAGGACAGAAAGCAAAAAGGAGGTTTGAAATGCCTCCATGGCATATCTGTTTGCTTTTGGCCAGACACCTTGTAGAGCTGTTCTGTGATTCAGCAGAATTACTGTTTTCTGCTCTAAAACTACTTGATTCAAGAGGAAATTCTTTCAAAATTTACATGCAACACAGTCTGCTATATTCTTACCTAATCCCAAGGTCTGAAAATAGACCCAGTCTGTAAAAGGAGAGCTGCCCATTTCATTAGTGCACTGGACCCGGACACTATAGTTGGAAGAATGTTTTAAACCTGGCAAAGTCTTAGTAAAGGACGGCACAGGGACAACTTCCACAGAGATTTCCTCCGATTCTTCTGGCTCAGCCACCTGTTGTAAAATGAAGATAACATTTTTACAAATGTCTTACAATGTTACAATTTTTTTTATGACAATCCACTTTACTCATTCACCAAAGTCAATTGTAAAGATGTTGAACAATACCAGGCCTAGGAATATCTAAAATGTTGGGTTACATCTTTTAAAGAGACAAACACTGGTTACACTTGAACAGAATCTGCTCCTTTAACTTCAAGAAGAACCTTACCAAAAACTTCTAAATTGTTCTTAAAAGAGAAGAAAAATTGTTTCACAGCATTATTGCTTTCTATTTGATATGCATGTTACCTTTGTCCCACGATCTGCTTTCATCAAACAGGTTTTTAGGTTTGTAAAACATTACAACCTGCAAAACCTATGACTACAGACAACTGCAGTGAGTAATGAGTGAGTAAGCATATTATAGGGAACGATACCATTACTAGGCCAATTTTTTGAAAAAGCTATTGTTTGCCTCCAGCCCTGAAACAATGACAACTATTCATTCTGTAGCAGCTAGAGACATGCACAGTTGCCTGTACAGAAATATGGGTCAACAGACAATGGTTATTGTACATAATAATCAAAGCAAGAGAAACTAAAAATGTGCCAGCCCCAGGTAATGCTTTATGTATTGCAATACAGATATCACATAAAACTGGACTGGAAATTCCTGTTTGTCTGTGCAAGGCTGGGATAGAAAAGTCTGAAGCTTTGTGAAAAGGGCTAGTCAAACTGAATGAAATCTGAACTGAAAAGGAAAGGGAAGAAAAAAGCTGGGGAGGAGCTTGGAACTCAGACAGTTTAACATTGTATAGTGATTGGCGGACGTGCTAACTAGGAAGAATAAGCTATAGAGAGCAAGGAAGGTTCAGCGTTCCAACATACAGGAGAAAATTCATTCTGGTCTCTCAAAAGCCCCAAAAGAGCAGCAGCAGAAATGGCATATTAAAGGAAAGGAAAGCTACTGCATGCAGAACATTTGATTAATGCTACAATCTCCATTCCAATATCCTGTAACCGCCCCCTGACTAAAATTACCTCTTTTAAATTAAACTTGGGGATGGGGGAGAACCCTTCTGCTGGTGTCAGTGGGAACTCCCCCCCCCAAAAAAAAACTTAATTACAGCTCAGGGGTGGGATCTGATGGTTCATAACTGGAAAGAGGAAGCTTTGTCTCTCCCCCACCTCCCATGAATGGTTTTCTAATGTTGTAAGTTGCCTTGGGTCCTTTTTAAGGGAGAAAGGTAGGGTAAAAATATTTTAAGCAAACCAACAAACCTCATCACAATTGCCCTCCAGACAGCATTTAGGCATCCGTGGATTTGCATGTGTGTTTGCTAGTTATTATAATCCTTTCTTAAGGAAGGGGAACCCTCAAACACTCCAAAAAATCAACAAAATATAGTAAGAACAAGATCTTGAAATACAAATAATTACTGGGAATAATAAAAATGATCATATATCCCGTCCTGGCATGACTTCATTGGCTCCCTATTTCCATGTTCAATTCAAGGTGCCAGTTAGGACCTTGATTGATTGATTGATTGATTGACTGACTGACTGACTGACTGACTGACTGACTGACTGACTGACTGACTGACTGACTGACTGACTGACTGACTGACTGACTGACTGACTGACTGACTGACTGACTGACTGACTGACTGACTGACTGACTGACTGACTGACTGACTGACTGACTGACTGACTGACTGACTGACTGACTGACTGACTGACTGTGTATCCTGCACCATCTGGCAACCAGGCCACTCTGGGCGGTTAACAGCAATATCAGCAACAATATTAAAACACAATAAAAAATAAATTAATATATAACCAAATAGGGTAAATTAAAACAGATGGCAATGAAGCTGGTTAAAAGGGTGTTTGAGAGGATGGCAAAAAGGAAGGTAAAAGGGAGGTTGAGATCTTAATGCTTCGGGAAAGCCTGGTGAAAGAGCCAGGTCTTCAATGCTCTTTTGAACCCATCCAGCAAGGGTGCCAGGCGGATCTCAATAAGCAGGATGTTCCATTAACTATAAAGCCGTAAATGGTTTAGGACCTCAATACTTGTAAGAATGTCTATCCAAGAAATAAGCTACCCATTCCATCCACTCCTCTCAATCCATTATGTTAAAGGTGGCCACACCAAGGGAGATCAAAGAGGCGAGCACAAGGAATTGTTCCTTTTTTGGTGGTGGCTCTCCAGACTCTGGAATAAGTTACCAACAGAACTTTGCCAAGCATATGAGATATACTGTATTTAAAGCTGCCTTTAACAGCTAAATCTCCTGGATGCTATTAATTATTTTGTACAAATTTTAGACTTTTTAGGGTTGTTTATATTTAATATGTAATTGCTGTTTGTTCATTGCCTTTTTCTTTTTGAATGTATGCTGTTGGGTTTTTTAACCTATAAACCACCCAGTTTGCATTAGTGGAGTAGTGTATTGATCGATCAATCAATCAATCAGTCAGTCAGTCAGTCAGTCAGAGTCAATCAATCAAATAAATAAATAAATAACAACCAGTACAAAAGATTATAGAACTAAAATCGTTTCTATGGAATAGCCCAATGTATTAATGCAGGAGACAGCAAGCAAGACCAAATATGTTTTAAAAACTCTTTTGAAGACATAGGAGGAGGAGGTCAGACAAACACACCAAGAGGAAGTATGTTCTACAGACATGGGATCTCTGATGGAAAAAGCCCTCTCCCCTGTGCCCACAAACCTTATTACTGGGGTGGTCATGTTGGCAGGACTGGAGAAGATGATGTCAGAACGCTGACAGGTAGGTAAGTGGAGACGATTTAAAAGAGATGGGCAACACATTGCCAATTGTCCCCACACAACCTATGGGCCTAAGAAGCCTCCCTTCACCTTTGTGTTCTGCAAGCACGGCCTGTACGGATGTACCAGATGAACCAGTCAATGTGCATTACTGCCTTCCCAATCAGCTCAGAATCCATGAGAATTTCCAAGCTTTGTATCTGGCCATTCAGGACAAGACCAGTTGAAATCTTCAATCCAGAGTAGCAAGTTTCTGTACACTGAACACATCCCCGGCTATGCTGATTGAACTGTAGGGGAATATTGATCCATAACACCTGGAAGGCACTTGGATGCTTGATTTGACTGATGTATTTGGAGGGTGGGGCATATAGGATAATCATATACCTGAACTGTACATGAATGAAGTGGGGAAAGGCCATCAAATCCTGGTAGCCATGTGATGCTGGCATTGTTGCTGGTGATACGAGTTACTGTCACATTGAGAGGTGGAAACGGGATAGCTGAAACAGAAGGATGGAAACTGTTTAGTATATGCAGAACACAGCAGACATTTATATACAAATATGCAGACATTACAGTCTGGGAATTTGGATAAGATCCCTGTGAGATGCTTATCAAGCTTTGGATGAACAGAGGTGATTTGCTCATGACATTATGAATTCCCATTAACATTGAGGAACATGCTCTCTTTACTCACTCTTTGGTGGCTAAACAGACGTAGAAAGCACAGAACATTTGTTACACACATTTAAAAAAACATTCTGTTGTAGCATCTGAGATGTAAGTCTGAAGTGTCTTATATTCTTTGAACAACATGCCCTTTTTCAGAGCTCTGGCGGTGCTGTCATGTCATGGTAACATCGCTCTTTTAGCGGGTAACTGATATGTTGGATTCAAACACTGGAAGAATACATGCTTTTCCATCAAACAAAAACAAGCAAACAAATCTAAATGAATCCAGAAAAGTTCATTCCAATTTTAGAGTAGAAATGTCCAAGCAGAAACATGAAGTCTGAATATTTCATACTTATTGATCAATCTTGTCATCCTTATGTTTCAGCATACTGCAATTCAGTGTGGTGCATATACATACACATGAAGTTATACCAGTGTTTAAATTACACGTAGGCAACCTGTGGCTAGTCACTGGTGTTGAACTGCAATTCCTATAATCCCTCGCAGTTGCCTATACTAGTTACAACTGATGGGAATCCAGCCCAACAAAATCTGGAGGACCACATGTTGCACATCCTGCTGTTTTAGCACAAAACCAAAATACAGTGGTGCCTTGCAAAACAATTGCTTCATAAAACGATGAATTCACACAGCGATGGGTTTCTTTGAGGAATTTCCCCCATCGTTTAACAATGTTCTCTATGGGGGAATTTCACTTAAAGATGTCCCTTTTTCGCTCCTGTAAAAGTGTCTTAAACTGTTAGAAACCTGTTTTAAATGCTTGCAATCGTTAGCCCACCTCCTGAACCATATGCACCCTTAATTTGTTCTGAGTTGTTGTTAATTTTTGGTGATTTTTAAAATTCTCCATTGAAAGCCTTTGAATGGTCCGAGAGAAATTAAGGTTGCATAGGGTTCAGGAGGTGGGCTAACGATTGCAAGCATTTAAAACAGGTTCCAAACATTGTAAGACACTTAAAAATGAGCGAAAACGGACATCAGAAAGGACTTCAAAAGCACTGGACAGTCCAATGCTTTTCAATGAGAGAGAAATTAAGGTTGCATAGGGTTCAGGAGGTGGGCTAACGATTGCAAGCATTTTAAAAATTAAGTTTGCATAGGTTTCAGGAGGTGGGCTAATGATTGCAAGCATTAATCTGTTCCAATTGGAACGGATTAACCGGTTTTCAATGCATTCCTATGGGAAATGGTGTTTCACTTAACGATGTTTTCACATAACGATTTTTTTATGGAACCAATTAACATCGTTAAGCGAGGCACCACTGTATTCTATTCCCTTCCTTCCACATTCTCAAGCTCCCTGCAAACAACTTGTTGCAGGGGAAAAAATGTGGGTTTTTTTCCAAAACAAAATGATTTTTAGGGTCACCTCTCATGGAGTGTGTAATGCAAATCCCGCCCTAAGGGACATGAGTCTTCAAAAATGGACCCCAGAGCTGGTCCAACATTAGGTGCACTTAAGTGGCTTCCTCACACTGCTCTTCTGCTGCAGAGATCAAGGGTCTCCAGGACTGGACAGACTCAAAGCGTCTGTCTCTGAGAGGTTCACGGCTGATCTCCCAGAGTACCAGACTAGCAAAGTTGTGTACTGGATAATTATATAAACATAGTAAGTAAATATATACTTAAAAATCTACACTTTCCTCTAATCCATGTGAAAATGATATCTAAACCATAGTTAAGCATTACAGGGGTCTACAGCATCTGTCCTCCTTCACGAATTGCTGCTTTGTCTTGGCGAAGGGGCTTGAGTAATTCAAAGAAGCTATGGGCTATGCGCCATGCAGGGACACTCAAGACGGACAGGTCATAGGGGAGAGTTCTGACTAAACGTGATCCACCTGGAGCAGGAACTGGCAAGCCACTCCAGTATCTTTGCCAAGAAATCTCCATGGACAGAAACAAAAGGCTAAAAGACATGACGCTGGAAGATGAGCCCCTCAGGTTGGAAGGCATCCAACATGATACTGAGGAAGAGCGGAGGACAAGTACAAGTAGCTCCAGGGCTAATGAAGTGGTTGGGCCAAAGCTGAAAGGACGCTCAGCTGCGGACGTGCATGGAAGTGAAAGGAAAGTCCTATGCTGCAATGAAAAACACTGCATAGGAATCTGGAATGTAAGATCTATGAACCTGTATAAAGAGAAATCCCCTTGCACGAGCATTTCTTCTTCATACATCAATGCTAAATGCACAGAATGAACTGTTCTAGGCACATGATGTCAGGCCTAGAAAGACTGTTCCTGTTCTTCAATGCCCTATATGCCTTTTAAAAACATGATTAGAGTGTTTGGTATTACCTCCATACTGGTGACACAACACTCCAAAATTCTGAACAGCATCTTCCTGAGGTTTCATGCAGATAATGCAAGACAAAAAAGACTTTTATGAGGCTCCTTATGCCATAGGAGCTCCTGAGATCTGCTCTCCATGGCAGATTCAGGACCCCATCTGGCTGCAATACTGTTTTTTTTAACCTGGGCAAACTTGGTGAAAAGAATCAAAGCCAGTTTCCCACACACACACAGATTACGGATTAAAAACAGAGAAACTGGGGAAGCTTTCTCCTGTCCTTTATTGTGTAGTCACTTTGACTTTTACCTTTTCATAGTCATACTTATTTAACTAAAGGAGAGTACTTCATAAACCTGATGCATGAAGGCAGGAGAGATTTTAAAAAATGATGTCACAGCTTGAATATATCGCAAATATATCGCACAATGAAACACATGCAAATAATTCAAAGTAAAATCAAGGAAATGTGTGAATTTATGTGAATTTATGGGGGCAGGAAAGAAGATAAGAACTGCACATGATCACCATGCCAGGACTATATGTGTATAGAGGTTTTATAATTATTTTGGTTGCTACTTTCCTACACTGAACATGGTGAATTTACACATGGAAAAAAATTACATTTTGATTTATATTTAGCCATGTTAGTTTTAGCATATCAGGCCAAAACAATCAAACGAAGAAATAAACAAACCTGCTATAATTTAATGTGAGCTTTCATGGTGTCTGAAGAAATGGACTTGTCCACAAAAGCTCACATTAAAATACAGCAGTTAGTCTTTAAGGTGCCACAACATTTTCGTCTACATTTTGATGCTATTTTAAGCACTATGCAGTTTTGTCCTTGGCTTGTTGCCTTTCCCATTGCTGTCATTTCAGGCTTGTTGCCTTTCTCTTCTACTTCTCTGGCTCATTCTCCTCTAATTTACTCCCAATCTTCTCACTCCATATGTTCTTTCCAATCCACCCCTTCACTGCTCCTGTCATCTCCTGCCCCCATTCTTGGCTCAGAACTTCCATTCATGCTGTCATTGACTCTTGAAACTATCTCCCACTCCTCACCTGGCAAGCACATGGAAATAACCATAAACAGGGAGCTTATGTCATTGGTCAAACCAAAGTCTCCAGTAGTCAGTTTCTAACACAAGTACCTACCCCACAATAGCTTTGGGCCTTCAGCCAACTAGTTTAGATAGACTTCCTAGGACAAAAATGCCTTCCAGGTTGCTTTACTGGCCTGAATACGTTTATTTATTTTATTTATTTTATTAGATTTATACCCTGCCCATCTAGACAGATAATCTACTTTGGGTGGCATTTATAGCTGACATCCCCAACCAATGGATAGATAGCAGGCTCCTACAAAGTTCTTCCTTCTGGGCTGGATCCACCAGCCTGAGAAACCCATACCAGTAACTCTGCAGCCTCAACCTCCTGCCCATCTTGCCTTGCAGTTTTAACCTTCTGTTTGATCTCCAAGTGGTTCATGACTATGCCTGCTGTATATATTTCTTCACTGAAGACAGACAACATAGCACCTGCTGCAATCCAAATGCAACAAGCCATTGCAACAGTCTGGGTCAGCAGCACAAATGACAGGCAGGTCCACAGAGGTATTCTGCGGAGGGAACTACTGCTGTTGCAAATCAGCTTGAGAATCCTGAGCAAGCGCAAATGCTGGCTCCCTCCTCCTCCAGTCTGCATCATATGTGTATGTCACAATGAAACACATGGAAATAATTCAAAGTAAAAAGAATGATCAAAGAAAAAAATGTGTGAATCCCTTTTCCCATATACTATTTTACTTAAGCTATCCTGGCCATATTCACTGATAACAAAACTCAAGAGAGTATTATTACCCAGTAACAAAATAGGGTATTATTACCAGCCCCATTCAAGATTAAGAAGAAAGCATCCTTTATATCCTAAGGTTGCTCTGAACACTGGATACATACTGGCAGCTGAGATTCTCAAGGTGCAAAATTCTGCAATTAGCAACAGTTTCTATAGAATATATCTGTGGCTGCAAACATGGGCCTTTTTAAAATAACAATAAAAAAAGGGGAACTACCCTTCAGATATATGAAAATCCAGCACAACTGAGGAACTCACACACATTGTACCTTTATGGTTTCTGGCCATAGGTAAAGGTAAAGGTTCCCTTTGACATTTTAGTCCAGTCATGTCCAACTCTAGGGGACAGTACTCATCCCCGTTTTCAAGCTGTAGAGCCAGTGTTTCTCCGAAGACAGTTTCCATGGTTACGTGGCCAGCGCGACTAGACAAGGAACGCCATTACCTTCCCACCATGGTGGTCCCTATTTATCTACTCGCATTTGCATGCTTTCAAACTGCTAGGTTGGCAGGAGCTGGGACAAGTGACGGGAGCTCACTCCCTCGCGTGGATTTGATCTTACGACTACTGGTCTTCCGACCTTGCAGCACAGAGGCTTCTGCAGTGTAACCTGCAGCACCACCATGTCCCTCTCTTCTGGCCATAGGCCTTTGCAAAGGCAGACTTACATAAAAACTGTTAAAACAAAAGCATGCCTCAGAGGTCAATAAACCCGTTCTGAGAATGGTGGCATAGTGTTTAATATCAAAGTCACTATATTCGATATTTATGTAACATTATGAACCTTAACAAATCAAAGCTTCAACTTCTTAGCTGCCAGAGCAAATTGTGCAACAAAGTACGTAACATACAGCTGGGTATCAGTGAGTAGTCTATTATTTCCATTGAAGTACAGTTAGGATACAGCTGAATAATGGGAGACAGAAATCTTTCTCTGGGATTTTCATAGAGAGGACAGAGTAATAAGTACAGTGGTGCCTCAACTTATGAACATCCGGATTTACGACCATTTCGAGTTGCGACCAGCTCTGGCTGCAAAATTTTGCTTCGACTTGCTACAGGAAGAAGGCAGGGGGAAAAGGCGGGGAATTCAAATTTGCTAACTGTTGGTAGGCGAAGAGGCTGCTTCTTTGTAGCTCTTTCACCCCAATGGTTAGAGTGAGTGTGATCGGAGGAAGCTTCGGACTGCCTGGAGCTGCTTTCTGCTCCTGAGTAAGTACTTTTACTTTGTTTTGCAGGGTGGGTTTGGGTTTGGGGGGTGGTTTATGTTTCTGTGCTGTGATGCTTTTTGTGTTTTGGTGTGTTTTTTCCCCCAGCCTCATCGCGTTCAGTCTGGCTGGGGAGGTTGTGCTTTTCCCCCCAGCCCCATGGCGTTCCGCTGGGGCTGGCTGTCTTTTGTTTTTTTGTTTTGGTGTGTTTGTTTTTCGGCCCCAGCGCGTTCCTATGGGGCTTGCAGTGTTTTATTTTTATGTTATTATTATTTTTTTCTGGCCTGAACAAATTAATGGGGTTTCAATGTATCCCTATGGGAAATGGTGCTTCAACTTACAACCATTTCGAGTTACGCCCATCTACTGGAACAGATTTAGGTTGTAAATTGAGGCACCACTGTAGTGAGTTAGGTCCTCAATCTGACTGCAGCCATAGGCACATTTCCGCTCCTCCGCTGGGATTCTTTTATATCTCCTTTCAAGATATGCTGTAGTCATCTGCCCAAATCTGTTCTGTGAACGCTCTGCAGATCTGAGGAAAAATCAATGACTCAAGGTAACTCGGTTTTGTGTGATTCGACTGAAGATGAGGGTATCAGGTGGAAAAACGGGACCAGACAATAACAGCCCTGTCCTGACTGGTGTCAAAGTCGAGAATCCAGTTTCTAAGGTCCCAGGGGCCTAGACTGAGGAATTTTCCCAGTGGGAGGTTATAGGATTTTAGTTTTTGATAGCACTATTGGGCCCATCCACCAAACTGTAGTTGTTCTAGCCAGCAGCACTTTGTCAAGGAGAGGTCCACTAGGTTGTTCAGTCTGTGCCAGTATCTAAAGTAGGCCAGGTCAGTTTTAACGGCAATTGAGGGAAGCCCTAACTCAGCTCTGAGATGGGCTGAAGGAATTTCTGTAGGGAGCCCCAGTATCAGCCTCATGAATTAATTCTGCAAAATTTCCAATTTTGGCTTAACTGCTTCTCCACATAATTCTCCCCCATAAAGAGCTGAGCAGAGCAACAAGATTGACAAAATGGATTGGCACTGATGAAGCCACAACTCTCCTGCAACATCTTTGGAGGGAATATAAAGCCTTCCTTAGAGGGAAAAGAAGGCTTATTACATTGATAATTGGAAATTTCTGGGACAGGCTGCCATCAATGAGCCCAAATTCTGGAAACAGATAGAAAGAGGCCTCTCACAGAAACCCTTTGAGATTGTCAACTGAGGAACTCATCATTATTTTGCAATGCAGTCATTGTACTTTGCTAAAAAACAAACAAAAAAACAACTCAATCAAAATTCATCTCCAGATATTTCCTAAACAGAAGAAAAGGTGTGAATTTTTCCTGGCTAGCAATTGCTTCTGTTTCTTGAAAGCAAGGAAACAATATGAGAGCAGCAATTGTGGAAGGAACCAAAATTATTAAAAGGGTTAAAATCACATGCTTGAAATGAGAGTGTTGGTGCTGCAAAGCGAAGGAATCCACACAATCATAATATTATATACCGAACAGGCTTGCTTCCAGTGGTGATTGGCTTCCTCTTGATTTTAGCAACTACTGAAATGTCAGTGTATTAAAGCAAAAGGTCTGGGTAAGACTTTCTTGGCTGCAAAACTACCATTCTGTGCCTGCCAAAAAAAAGATTTGCCCATTTACCTACTGCAGGTTACACTGTGGCCCACCTTCTTTCCAAATAAAGTTCAAACTTTTCAAGGAAAATCTGTTATCTTGTGTCACATTCCCTTCTTGGACTACTTGCGAATTGTTTTTGATCACAAATGTCACTGCAGGGGAATGGGCTTGCATACCAAACAGTGAGCACAGTAGATTATTTCATCTGCTGAGAGCATGGAGCAGGCACTGTTGGAAAACAGCTCAGAAGTTGGGGGGGGTGGGGGTGGGACAAAGAAAAACAGAAGCTATTTTAATTCAGTTCTTCCTGTTTTCCCCGTGTGCCTCCCACCCAGTCCATGTGCCACTCTCCTTCCTCCATGTGCTTCCTTCTCTGAAAAGGAAGGGAAAACTCTGTCTTACCTTTAATTTGCACAGTGGCTGTCCGAGATGAAGACAGTCCTCTGATATTATGGGCTTCACAGGAGAAAACTGTGCTTTGATTAATACCTGGGGATGAGCCAAAAAAAAGAAAAGGAGGAAAAGGATTTTTATTTTTATTTTTAAGGAAAAGAAAGCAGCACAAAAACCCTGCAGCATAATCTCCTAGTTCCACTTCAAGAATTTCAATTATGTTTCAACACCGAGCTCAGACTCTATAGTGTATATGCAACTTTGGGGGCTGAACTGGAAACAGATCAAAATCAGGCGGACGTGAGTGTAATTAACATGTCAATAGGTTTTCTTTTTATAAAAAAGGAAGAATGTAGCATAGAGGAGTTTGTGGCAAGGCTCATTCTAGACAATATGAGAGGGGAGGCAAGCAGAGAAGGGGCTTTGTGATATAAGAAGCCAAAGTGTTCAGCTCTTAGCTCTTTCATTGTTGTGCTCTCCCAGCTGTCCTTGGTGGACTGCCCCTATTGTTTACTGCGCTCAAGTCAAGGCTTGTGTACAATCCATTAGTATTACGTTTCCACAATGCTTGCAAAAATGGGGTTCCAGGATCTCTAGCTGCTTGTGAAATATACCCATGACCTTCCCAAAGCCACAGGCTTCAATGAATGCAAAAGCAACAATAAATGAAAAGCTGATATTCTTTAACTGAGCTTTAACAGAATTATTTGTTCTCAATTTTTCATATCTTGTCCCACTATTTGTCTGTCAAAGAATTCAATTTCCACCATAATACAGTGGACCCTTGACTTACAGACGGCTCGACTTACAGACTTGTTGAGTTACAGACTTCTCTGGCCGCAAAATTTAGGTTTGACTTGCAGCCGGAGAATCGACCTACAGACCAGGAAAAAACCAAAATGGAATAAAAATGGAACAAAAACAGCCGGTTATGGGATTAATCAGTTTTCAATGCATTGTAGGTCAATGGAAACTCGACCTACAGAATTTTCGACCTGCAGCCACCATTCTAATACAGATTAATTCTGTAAGTAGAGGGTCCACTGTATACAGTATAAAATAAAACTCCCCTTCTGCATGAAGAACATTTATATATCTACAGACACTGTTATTATATTTATCATTTATGGCAAGCTAGTAGGTAGCAGGGAGGATAAGGCATTAGGAAAAACAATGAACAGCCAGAGTTACCACTAATTTCATTGAAGATCAGAGATAGCAGGTAAGAGATGGTACACAATACTTGCAGGAAGATATGGAGATTAAGAAAAAAGGAACTCCTTGTAAAAGTTATCAAAACCATGTGTCCCACCTAGACAGCTGTGTCCCATCAGCTGTATGCATGCCACTCACTGAGAACCACCGATTTAAAATGTGTGGTCACACAATCGGATCTCAAGAGTACTGTACCAAGCCTCAGTAGTAACGAATCATCTATATGCATTTCCAGACAAAAATGGAATGACTGGGTGTGAAGGAACTGGCGAGGAAAAGGAGAAAAAAACAGAGTGAGCCATCCCCTCAACTAGAGATACCCGAGCAGAAGAGTGCTATGGGAACAAGGGGGGTAATAGAGAACGAAGAACTGAATGTGGAGAAAGAGAAAGGAAGGGAATCAAAGGAGAAAGGGGAACAGATTGAGATACTGTATGCCTGGTAGAAGAGGGGGGGAGAGGAGGAGGGGAGGAGCTAATTTTGTCTGTGTGGGAAGAGGATACAGTGGTACCTCGACTTGAGAACGTCCCTACATAAGAACGATTCGAATTAAGAACGGCTCCATTCGCAAAAAGTTGCTTCGACTTGAGAACGGAGCCTCAACTTAAGAACCAAAAAAGGGGGAAAAAACCTTTCCTGCCCTTTTTTTGACCTAAGTTCACCTTACGTCAAAAGAAGAAAAAATAAAAATAAAAATTTGCCCCCTAGTGTTAGATACAGATTAACTGGCTTTGCATGAGTTCCTATGGGAACGAATACTTCGACTTAAGAACAGTGCCTCGACTTAAGAACGAAAAACAGCAGATACGGATTAAATGGTTTTCAATGCATTCCTATGGGAAATGGTGCTTCGACTTAAGAACGTTTCGACTTAAGAATGCAGTCCCAATATGGATTTAGTTCTTAAGTTGAGGTACCACTGTATATGGGAACCAAGTGGGAGGAGACAGTTCAGTGTACAGATGACATGGGAAAGGAAGAAGAAGGAAAAAGAGATAGGAGGGAAGAAAGAATTTGAGTATGATAGAACGAAGGGGTAGTTGGAAGACTTCCCGAGCCTAAAGATGGGAGGATTGTTCCCTGCTCCGGATGAGTCTACAGGGAAAGGGACATGGGCACATTCCTTAAAATGGACAGTCGTGGTTTATCCATGGGGACAAGGTCACTTGAAGAAGGTGATCTGGGCGGACTCTTCCTTCAATCATCCACCACAGGAGGGAGATTGGGCCAGACACCCTTGCTGTGGAACAATTTGCATGGTTCGGAGTACTCCGAAGAGGAAACCCACTGATCAAGAGTATTTCAGGCCAGCCCCTCAATGAATCCTGTCAGTTTTGGGACAGAGGTGTCGTCACCACAATATGGACAGTTAACTGAAATTGGTTGTTTTGAACTTGTAGAAGTTCACCTAGTGCTAAATTGAATAAAACTGTTGACGTTCAAAAAGAGACTCAGTTGTCATTTCCCGCCAAAAAGCAGGAACTGCTTCAGATCTTTAATGAATCCAATCACACTAGGCTATTTCAAGGGCAAACTAATAGTGTTTGAACAATTACTGTTTTTTATTTAAGCTTTGCAAAATGGTTGATATATGTATGTGTCCCGGATAGACAGTACTGTATACCTTTCAGACCTAGTTCGTAGGTTCAAGAAATCAAAGAAGGAAAATTAAAACCTACCAACAACACAATTTTTCCTCAATTCATATTTTATCAATACTAAAAGCTATGGGTGGAGATAGGATCCATTTTTTATCAATGCTAGTGGACATTTTAGGAGGGAAGGGAAGAATTCAAGAATCTTTAGCTTTTTCTAAAATTATTTTTAAAATCATTACTTCCTTTGGGTGAATCTTATTATTATGAAAAACTTTTAAAAATCTGTTGCTTCAACATATATTACCTAATCTCTTGTTCAGCTGGTCAGAATCCAAGAGTCACATTTGAGTGACAATAAAATGACAATGAAGGACACTGAAGGACACACATACCATTACAGATAAGACAAACAGGGTCAGCTCCTGCAATAAAGTCCACAAGGATCCTAGCACCTCACTTAGTCCAGATCCTCAGACCATAGGACTCTACAAAAAGAGCCAAACAAAAGCAGAAGACTACAGTGGGACTTCCAGCCAGCCTTGAATATGTGTTTGGATGCCTTCTTCCAAACAAAGCACTGGCAACAAGTGACCAACACAGGAGGCTCTTGACACATGGACATCTGCTTTAGCAATCCTTATAGGTATTTATGACAAGGCAAAAAAGGCTTGAAGGCTACTTCAACAAGAAGGGTAATGCTTATTGGAATGCTTACTTTGCCCCTTAATACATACAAAGTGATAAGCCAGGAGGCCTTTGGCTTTAAGATTAAGAAGTTATATCTTCTTCAGTCAGCATTATTAACACACCACTCAGAGGAAGCGTAGATCTGTTGTCTACAGAAAAAACTAGGATGTCAAGTCAAACTCTGAGGGCCTATGATACTTTGAATGTTTTCAATACACTATACCCCTCCCCCCCAAAAAAAACCCAGTTTTGTTTACTTTTGATAACTTGTAATTTAACTTGAGAAAGATTTTTAAAAATGCAGGGAAAAACAGATTACTAAAAAAACCTGAAAGCAGGTCTTAGTAAAGGTACTTGTGGAAATTGCTCTCTGATGTTTTTATCTGGATTCTAGTTTGTTTCATAGCCCAGAGTCTGAAACAGTAGCTGAGACTGCACTTTAAGAATCTGGTATACTATTAAAGCCTACCTGAAGTAGGCTTGACTATCTTTACTGAAAATGAAGATCGTGACAAGGAGTGGAGGATCAAAATAAGACTGGAGAGATGACAAAGAGAGATATTTCAAAATCTTGTTATGAAACCTCAAAGTGATATATTCTAGCTGACAGCAGAGCAAGCATTGCTAGGATTTAAAAAAACAAAACAAAAACAACTGTGGTAACACCCAAGATGTTTTCAAGGTACAAAACAGAAAACTCAGACTCTGAAGATCCAATCTACATTTTGAACATGAAATCAGCTGGCTCACTGAAATTCATGCCACACCTCATTTCCTTCCAGGTTTATTACTACTTTCTCTGAATATACAGTATTTATGCTAGTTTTTGCCGACACTAGCTTTTTCTCTCTCTCATAATGCAAGTTCCAGGCTTTGCAAGCCTCAGAAACTGTGGACCAAGTGGTAACACACTCAGGCTAACCCTCAGATTCTTCCTTTTCCTGTCAGAGACAAGAACCCATATGCAAAGCCAATGGAATACTCCACAGCATATGAGGAAAACAGATTTCCAACCAAAGGAATTCATGTTTTCCTTGTTTGAGAAAAGCAAGAAGAAAATAAATCACCAAATGCTTAGGGCTTAGGAAATGCAGTCTCAGAATCAAGCTTGTTCTATCTGCAGAATCTCATCCTGGGTTGTGTCTTAATCATGCTGAAATTGGGCAGAATGGTTAGAAGATGGATATATAATGCTGGGAACTGTTTTGTACAAATTCGGTATGCTTGGTATGTGCATATGAGATACTACCAAGGACACTACCCCCATTCCTTTGTTATCTAATCACTATACTTACCTTAGATAGAGGGGAGTCCTCTAACCCCATCCCTTTGTTTCTGGTTTCTTTTTCCTCCTATACATACAAAGCCACACATCTGAAGTGGAGATCCCCATGTGAATTAGGGTCCTGGTTTTATAGAGTTGCAAATCACAGGAAGAGGCCTCACAGATAATGGACCCTCTTCCTCTTCAGTGTTATCACCCTCTATATGGAGGAGGACAATGAAACTAGAAATGGAGGGGTTGAGGTGTTCCCCCCCCCCACACAATAAGTATGCACAATTAGATAGTGACTGAATAGAGCCATCACTTTCAATATACCAATCTGGGCTAACGTGTTTGCTATCATCTATGTAACATATGGGTCCCATAAACCTTTTTTTTGTGAGAGGCAAGCTCATGCCATTCCAGGTAAGGGATAACCCACTCACACTTCTCCACTGAAGGTATGTTTTCTCTAAATAGCTCTTTACTTCATGGAACTCTTCAGTTTTGTCTTGAACACCCATAGCTGTAGTTTTAAGCCTACAGACTTAAGTCTGAACCACTAAACCATATGGACCAAAAATCCAAAAAACCTTATAAGCCAAAGTATGCTACAATTCCTAGGATCCAAACAAGGTCCAGCAAAGGTGGACAAGCATTTCAGTGCCTGCATGTTTCCCATTATTCCTTTATTCTGTTTTGTGTCCTTCTAGCTTCTGCACACTGATATATGTATATGAAGCCACATGTTATCATTCCAGAAGCAATCCAAACAATTCAGTTGATAAGCTGGGGTGGAGGAATCTATCACCAAGAATATATCCTTCTTGATAGTACCACCACAACAAATGGTGCACCTGTTGTTAAGAAAGTGTATTTGCTAATATCTAGTCCATTCCTCAACATTTCTTGGATATTCACCAAAGATAACTGCATACTTGATTACGTCGACTGAATACCAGATACTCATTGCTACATTCACTTGTTACACTTGCAACACATCTGAAACACAACCTCACCTAATTCATCAATTGATACTGGTGTAATTTTTATCATCTCTTCATCAACCACCTCACCCCTTCCTGGAAGCCTTACCTGACACATTTAAGGTGGAGGGGGAGATATCAGGAAGCCCAACTCTGGAATCGCCCATCCACCAGACAATTGTCACTGGCTCAGGTGGGCCTGCTGCAGCACAGACCATATGAAAAGGGGTATTAGGAATGACAGACAGATCTTCGGGCTCAGCAGTGAAGTAAGGAACACCTAGAAGAACAAAGCAGAACAGAACCATGGGAGAATATTCATCTTCATGAGTCAGAATAGCTCCTTTTTTATTCTTTCACAATAGTCTGTAGCTACAGAAAACTTGTTGCCTGGGCTCTCAAAAACACATATTAAAAGCTGGGTGTTTTACACTAGCAGTACTTCTATGTACTTTGACTTGAGTAAGAGCTGCCTACAGACCAGGACAATGAAATTGCAGGGACCAATGCTGTCTTGTGCATGTTTACTGAGGAGAAAAATACACAATAATATGAAACCAGGATGGTATATTGACAGGAAGATTTATTTCTATAAACTTCCCTAAGGATTTTCAAAAGTACTGATCAGAAATAATCTGAGCAAGGGGAAGCTTCATACACACAGCTTTTTTTCAAAAAAAGAGGGACATTTCGCCATTAAATGTTTGGCAGGGGAACAGGAATAGCGAGGGAGCTGCATTCAGTTCTCTGCTCTTTTTCAAAAGCACTGAAGCAGTAACATTCCAAATGTTTGTTTTTAAAGGGACTAGGTTAAAGTAGTCCGGCTACTGAGTTGGTCTGAGAAACACACATGGCATCTGTGTTCATATGAAGTTCCTCAGCTACTAAGACAAAAGCAGATAATACTCAGAATAAGCAATGTATGGTTCTAGGGCCACGTGCAGCTTTCATCTGCAGGCAAGGAATTCAGATTTTTTTGCAAACGTGATCTGTCCTTCTCCAGTAGCCTGTATAGAGGAGTGACGACAGACAAAAGAATTGGGGGCAGGATTTGACAGACAGAAGCAAATTTTATATGAAATTTCATAGAACTATATTCATATTTAGAAGCATTCTACTCCTTCAGGTTATGGCAATGAATAAGGTAAAGGTAAAGGTTCCCCTTGAAAATTTTTGTCCAGTCATGTCCGACTCTAGGAGGCGGCGCTCATCCCGCTCTTCAAGCCATAGAGCCAGTGTTTGTCCGAAGACAATCTTTCCGTGGTCACATGGCCAGTGTGATTTAGACACGGAACGCTGTTTACCTTCCCACCGAGATGGTACCTATTTATCTACTCGCATTTGCATGCTTTCGAACCGCTAGGTTGGCGGGAGCTGGGACAAGCAACGGGCACTCACTCCGTCGCGTGGATTCGATCTTACGACTGCTTGGTCTTCTGACCCTGCAGCACAGGCTTCTGCGGTTTAGCCCACAGCGCCACCACGTCCCCATGGCAATGAATAGAACTTGGATAATAAACAGGTCTATTTAGAACTTATCAGCTTTGGAATACCCACTCCCATTATCAGGAGTTTGGCTCTAGCCTTCACTACTGCTGCTTTAATCGTGCCCACTGCAGCACAAAAGACAGTACAATTACCTTGAGAGGTGGTAAGTGCTCCAACACTAGAGGCATTCAAAAGAAATTTAAACAATCACCTGGCAGATATCCTTTGATTGTATTGAGTAGAGGGTTGGACTCAATGGCCCTATACATAGGCTCCTTCCAACTTCATTATTCTAGGATTCTATGACCATCCTTGCCAGAATGCAGTCTTTCATGCTTCCCACCAATGCTACAGTTGAATTGATGTACTATAAACCCATTAGTATTAAAATATCTTAACAGGTCAGTATCATATCAAAATCCATATTGTGGTAATGCCTTTATTAGGCAACGCAGAAAGGCACAAAAATTGTTCAAGCTTCAGAGATCACAGATTTCTTCATCAATCACAAAAAACAATCAGGCAGGAGAAGCCCTTAAGGTTAAATTATATAGCCTGCATACAATTTCACTATAAAAAGGCAAGGGCTCTTCAGACTATCAAACTGGGCTCATCAGTTATCAACTTTCAACCTGAATGGCCCACAGCCTTGCCAGGAAACAGGAAAGCCTAACAAAATTTTACTCTGTTTTGCAAAAACTCTCAGTATCCAGTATCAAACTCATAAGCCTCTTGAAAGCAGAGTATAGTCGCACAGGCAGAGGCTGGCAAGGCTGGAGATAATTTTAGCTGCTGGATTAAATAATGCAAGTCAATAAAAGCCAAATTGGGTAGCTTTACCTACTGTGCTGAAGGGGGTGAAACTTTTGAAAATCAAGTTCCAGTTTCTGTTGACATGAAATCCTCTTCCTTGCTTTACTTTCACCACTGTTTTATAATTGCTTCACGTAATGTTGTTATTCTTTATTGTGTAATTTCACTGTGAACTGCTTGGAAAGCATCTACTATGATGTGTATTATCTATATCTATATCTAATCTGAGAAGTTTGATAATGCCGACACATTCATTAGTCACACAGCTATTAAAACATCATAGCTTCTAAGAAACATTTTCATAAGCAAGGCACATATCTTCAAAAGACAGCAGCTGTCAATTATACACCATACTACTATTTTATGTTGTGGCTTTGAGCTTTACCTTGTGGCTTTAGCTATACTTTAAAACTCATGCACTTGTCAACTTGTTACTTTAAAGATTTTTTTAAAATTAATTAAACCAACAATAAAGGAAAGAGAAGGAATGTTTGTCCTAATTTCCAAATGTCTATGGGAAACAGAAGCTTTGCTACATGCCAGTTCCTGGTTTCGGTATGTGCCAGCTAAAGGCTTCTTGATATCGAAGAGGAAAAGAATTATCTCAAAATAGATACAGCCTCAGTAGAACTCTGTTTATTGCTAGGGCTTGAAGGTATGTCTGAATTACAGAAAGTTAATATTTAAACAGAAAAGAGGAGGAAACCCCATGTAGCCCTTGTACAAAATTCTAAAACGTGAATGGGTAATACCATTATTAGACCACCGAAGTATCAAAAATACATGATTCTTAAACATTTGATTTGTTTAATAAAGGTATAGACCACTTTTGTTTTGAAAAGTAAATATTAAACTAAGAAACAGGACAGAAATCAACATTTTAAACTTACACCTAGAACATATGAACCACATTCAAAACACATATGCATTTAAAAAGTACAAATTTTGTTATGTGTTTTTAAGCCTTCTGTGAAGCTACCTGCCCATGTGCACACTTTCACTGGAAAAGCCTGAATCCTGGGTGACTATGACTACACCATCAAGAAAACACTTGTTCTCTCCAGAACTACTTGTTCTCTCTTCGATACTAATATACTACTAGATTACTGTTTCAGGTTGTTGCTGATGATAAGATTTTAGGTTTTTATATTGTCTGCACAGATCATGGGAAAATCACACCATAGTCCATCATTTGCTATTTTGTGTCATTCTCATTTCATCTTGCAATGAATTTTGGATTGTATTCATCTTATTTGTACTCAAAATATGAACTGGACATAACCCAAACAAATTAAGCATTTTTATGTGGAAAAAATGATACACATTTCTAATTCTGAACTCAAGGGGACTTAGAAGAGCTTAATTTCAGCTGGATAATGCTACAAGGTGATAGTGACACAGTGACATCATGAAGAGATTAAACAAATCCTTGAGCAAGAATTCTCAAGCTTTTAATTTATTTATTTATTTATTTATTGGACTTATATACCGTCCCATAGCGCTACAAGCACTCTCCGGGCGGTTTACAATTTTTTAATTATACAGGCTACACATTGCCCCCCCCAGCAAGCTGGGTACTCATTTTACCGACCTCGGAAGGATGGAAGGCTGAGTCAACCTTGAGCCGGCTACCTGGGATTTGAACCCCAGGTCGTGAGCACAGTTTTAGCTGCAGTACAGCGTTTTAACCACTGCGCCACGAGGCTCATAAGTTACCTATCCTCTGATTTACTCTCTGATCCTATACAATGATCTCAGTTATACAAATCAGGTGTACACCATTTACAAGGTTCTTACAACTCTTTTGCAGATTGTGGTACATCACATCTCTTGCTGCCATTTGGCAGCACAGAAAAACAGCAGCAAAGAACACGTATTTGTTCTAAACACCAAGATACATTCCCCTTGTTTTAAGAAAGAGTTGCACCCCATAAACCTTCCAGAAGTCTTATTCTCCTTTAGAGCAGGTGTATGTTTCCTGCATGCCTTGTTTTAAAGCAGACGTGGCCTTTTTCTTGCTGCTTCCAAACTGTAGTTGCCTAGTGTGCTCTGGGACAGAATGTCTAAATTCATTCCTGGGTCACTTGAAGACATCTACTCCATTGTAGAAAATACCTGTTTCATACCACAGTTGCATGAATTCAAGGCTCTTCTCAAATTCAGAAAACTTGACAGCTGAATCCCAACATCTTGTGAGCATCAACAATTTTTGTTATTAGCTGTTATGATTAATATCTCATTCTTGCTCTGTCTCTCAGTTTTCTAAAGCCATTAAAAGAGTGCTGCTGCATTAAAAGTGTGCTGCATTATTTCAGCCCAGGGATGTGTGAAACATGTGCCCTCTCCCCAGACAATTTTGGATTGTCACTCTCTTTAGTCTCAACCAGCTTAGCTAAATAATGATGAAGGATATGGATAGCTGTACAGTCCACCCTCGACTTATGAACTTAATCTGTTCCGGAAGGACGTTCATAAGTCAAAAGGTTCATAATTCAAATCAGCATTTCCCATAGGAATGCACTGAAAACCAATTAATCCGTTCCGGCTGTTTTTGGGTCTTAGGTTGAGGGGTGGTTTGTAAGTCGAAGCATTAGTTCCCATAGGAACTAATGCAAAGCTGGTTAATCCATTCCTACCACTAGAAGTGCTGTTTTTCGTTCTTAACTCGAGGTGCTGTTCTTAAGTCGAAGTATTCGTTTCCATAGGAACTCATGTAAACCCGGTTAATCTGTATCTATCACTAGGGGGTGAATTTTTATTTTTATTTTTTCTTTTGACGTAAGGTGAACTTAGGTCAAAAAAAGGGCAGGAAAGGTTTTTCCCCCCTTTTTTGGTTCTTAAGTTGAGGCTCCATTCTCAAGTCGAAGCAACTTTTTGCGAATGGAGCCGTTCTTAATTCGAATTGTTCTTATGTAGGGACGTTCTCAAGTCGAGGTACCACTGTATCCTCTTCCCACAGACAAAATTAGCTCCTCCCCT